AGAAAATAGCACAAGATTTTAAGTTTCTAAGTGACAGAGAGTAGGTACCTTTTAGCTTCTATCTGGCAAGGCATTTTTAGTGCCAAAGGAATCACTGCCATATAGGAAACCTCATTATTGTGGAATTCCAAAGACAATCCTATCTATATAAAGAGGTAATATGCAAATTTGTCAAGGGCTCAGGACCAGTCACGAAGGAACACATTTGCATATTACCTCTTTATAGGCTGGGGACGGGACTGCTGAGCCGTGAGGCAAGGCATGGATGGCGCAGGCAAGCAGCAGGCCCACAGAGAGCAAGGAGCAGGGCCTGCAGAGAAAAGGAAGCAGGGCCGGTCAGTCGTCATGTCGATGATCAGGTCTGCAGAGAGCAGGGAGGAGCAGGGCCGAAGAGAACAGGAAGCAGGGCCTCCCAGTCCATGGTGATGATCAGGTCTGCAGAGAGCTGAGCAGGGCCTGCCAGTGTTGCAGGGAAGAGCAGGAAGCAGAGGGTACGGGAGCCTAGAGACAGGGTGACGTGCCCAGGTCGCCTCTGTACAATGATACTCACATTTCCACATTCTCCAAACTTTTTCTGACACCACTCTATAACAAAAGAAAACAAAAAATTGTTTCAAATGATTAAGTCAATTCTATTGCTTTTATCTTTTTTTTTTTTTAATTCTCACCTGAGGATATGCTTTTTTGTTTGGTTGGTTTTTATTCTAAAGAGAGAGGAAGGAAGGGAGAGGGGGTGGGGGGAGAGAAACATCAATGTGAGAGAGCTACATTGATTCGGTATCAAACCGAAAACCTGGGTATTGTGCCCTGATTGGGAATCGAACCGTTGACCTTCTGGAATGACACTCCAACCACCTAAGTTACACCAAACAGGGCCCAATTGACTTTTTTTTTTTTAATAGCGGCTGGGAGAGAGAGAAACATCGATGGGAGAAACATCAATCGACTGCCTCCTGCACACCCCCTTCTGGGCGTGTGCCCTTGACTGGGAATCAAACCTGCGACCTACTGGTGGGATGATGCTCAACCAACTGAGCCCCAGCGGCAAGGCACCGACCAGATTTTTAACTCAGAAAGAAATGAATGCACTTGAGCATCATTCATGGCCTTCATTACTCCTTATTCAAATTTAGTTTTTGGAGGCTCTACTTAGCCAAAAAGTATCAAAGGAGAAGAGCAATGAG